CGAGGACAGAAAACAAAATAGTGTTACAGCTGCAAGGAATTTGTTCATATTGCTCGCCAATATAGTAAGAAGTTATGTAATTATTGCGAGAAAAATGGATACATTATTAAGGAGTGTCCTACACAGCCTCAAAACCGCAAACCACTGGTCCTTCATATTGTGGTATCCGACTCTCATATTCCTACTTCGACATCTACAGTTGCCGGCAATAATCAATTGTTACACAATATGGTTCAACAGATGATTCTTTATGCATTTTATGTTCTTAGTTTTCAAGGAAAAGGTAAGGTAATTTCTTCTCTTCCTTCTCATTAGTTTGTTGATTCCGATGCCACAAATCATATGACTGACACATCTAATTTTTTACATAATCAACGCTCGTACACTAGTACTCAACATATTCAGGTTACTGATGAAAATAATATTCCGATTACGACAGTTGGCGATATTAACTCTTCTTTCTGACATGTCTTGATTTCTCCTAAATTATCTACGAACTTACTTTCTGTTAGTCAAACGGTGGATAATAACTGTGACATACACTTTTCTCATAATTGTTGTATTGTTCAAGATCAGATATAGGGAAATGTGATAGCGAATGGGCCTAAAGTGGGCAGGTTATTTCCATTATAATTTATCATGCCTCGAACTTTTTCATTTGTTTCTTTAGTTGTTGAAAATAAAGCTAGCATCTGGCACAGACGGTTAGATCATCCAAATAATGTTGTTTTGAATCATCTCTTGCAAAGTGGTGTTTTGGTCCTACAGAAAAAGGTTTATTAGTTGATTGTTCATCTTGTAAGCTGGGAAAAAATAAGATATTGTCTTCTCTTATTTTGGGCAGTTATGTCAATAAATGCTTTGACATTATTCATAGTGATGTTTGGGGAATTATACTGGTTATTTCACATGCTCAGTATAAATATTTTATGACATTTATTAACGATTATAGCCCATTCACATGGATCTATTTTTTACATTCCAAAGCACAAGTGTTTACCGTGTTTCAAACATTTGTGACATATATTGATACTCAGTTATACACTTGTATTAAAACTTTACTGTCTGATAATGGTGGTGAATACATGTCTCATGAATTTCAAATATTTCTTCATGATAAAGGTATTATTTCATATCATTCATGTCCTTATACACCCTGCAGAATAGAGTAGCAAAATGGAAAAATCGTCATCCATTAGATATGATGTGCATATTATTGTTAGAATCTTTTGTTCCAACTAAGTTTTAGGCAGAAGCTTTATCTACCGCGGCTTATCTGATTAATCTCTTACCATCTCAACAATTGAAACTTGATTCTCACTACTATCACATTTTTGGTAAACATCCTAATTATCATATGTTAAATAACTTTGAATGTTTTGTTTTGCTCATTTACCTGGCCATGAACATCATAAGTTGGCATCAAAGTTTGTTCGATGTAACCTTTATAGGTTACAGTCCTAATCATAAAGGTTTTTTGTGTTATAATTCGATTAATAATCGATAACGTATCTCTCAGAATGTGATTTTCTTTAAACATGAATACTATTTTCAACATCCTCTTTCGACATCTGACATTGTTCTACTTCCTCATTTTGATGATTCTTCTTTTGATAAACCATTCAAGCCTGAAATTTTCTACACACGACGCCTGATCCCTTCATCTTCAGTCCTTCCCGACCCTGCTCCTGAAAATGCTTCAATGAGTCTTCAACAATCAACTTGGCACATTCGTCCTCCAAATAGATATGGTTATTCTACAAATTTAACTAATACTACAGTTCCTACATCTTATTCTCAGGCTGCTAAACAGACTTATTGGGTAAAAGTCATGCAAGAGGAACTTCAAAACCTTCAAGACAATCACACTTGGGATATTGTTTCATGTCTTGCAGGTGTTAAATTCATTTGTTGTAAATAGGTTTATTCTCTTAAGATTCGATTCGATGGCTCCCTTGACAGATATAAGGCAAGATTGGTAGTTCTTGGCAATCGACGAAAATATGAGATTGATTATGAAGAGACTTTTGCTCCTGTGGCTAAGATGACAATTGTCCGGCTTGTTCTATCTATTGCTGCTTTTAAAGACTGGTCCTTACAACAGATGGATATTAAGAATGCATTTTTGCATGGGGATATTAAGGAAGATATCTATATGACTCCTCCAGGCTTGTTTTATACACCCTCACATGATATTTGTAAGCTCAAACGATCACTATATGGTTTGAAACAGGCTCCACGGGTCTGGTTTGAAAAGTTTTGCAATACTCTTCTTAGTTTCTCTTTTATTCAGAGTTAATATGATTCTTGGAAGACTAATAAGAGAATTGTGTTGTTATTAGTCTATGTTGATGATATTGTCTATCGCGGGATCCAATACTCAATTGATGTCTCATTTACAGAAGCGTCTTCAAGCTTCTTTTCATATAAAGGATTTAGGGTCTTTAACCTATTTTTAGGTCTTGAAGTTCACTGTTCTCTCGTTGGCATTTTTCTTCATCAACATAACAATACTAAGGAAACCATTGTTTTGGCTGGGCTCTAAGAGGGTCGTCCTATTGATACTTCTTTGGAAGTGAATGTTAAATATCAATGGAATGATGATAACTTTCTATCTGATCCATCTCTGTATCGACAACTTATTTGGAGTCTCAATTATCTAATCATCACACGTCCTGATATTTCATTTGATGTGCAACAAGTTAGTCAATTTATGCAGACACCTACATATCTTCATTTAGCAGCAGTTCGACGTATTGTTAGGTATTTGAAAGATACTTCTCATCACGTCTGTTTTTTTCTGCGAAATATCCTATCCGCTTAACAACATATAGTGATGTTGATTGGGCTGGCTATTCTGATACACGTCGACCTAGTACTGGCTGGTGCATATTTCTCGGCAAATCTTTAATTTCTTTGAAAAGTAAGAAACAAGATCGAGTGTCTAAGTTTTCTACTGAGTCTGAATATCATGATATGTCCTCTGTTTGTTCTGAGATCATTTGGCTTCGAGGTTTGTTGGCTGAGTTTTGTTTCCCTCAACTTGAGTCTACTTCTTTTTATGCAGATAATATTAGTTCTTTCCAAATTACTGTCAATCCTCTCTTTCATGAGCACACGAAACACATTGAAGTGGACTGTCATACTATTCGAGAAGCTTATGATAACAGCATCATTTCTCTTCCTCATATCTCTTCTGATCTTTAAACGGCTACTATATTTACTAAAGTCTTTTCTTAGCAGCATCATCAGCTCCTTCTTGACAAATTAATGTTTTTTGATCAGTCAACATCAATTTGAGGGGGGATATCAATCAAAATTAACTGAAATCGGTCAGAATTAAGAGTTTCCTTATTTAAATTTTTTAATTAAATTTTGTAAATTAATTGTACATATTCTTTCCTTATAGTTGAATGGTTAGATTAGGACTATGTATTATTACAAATTATTATGTATTATTAAGATACCTAAAATAGATTGTAGAGAACATTATTTATTGGAATGAAAGCAAAGAAAAGAACATTCAGCCTATTTGCTCAAAACACGAACACTTTTGTGTATAGCATTGCACTTTGAACTCATTGATTTCATTGTACTGGTCTAGAACTATAGTCAAATTTAGTTCATTTTATTACTTGTTAAACATAGTTATTATTTCTTACTTCTTGTTGATATTTTGATGCATCATTAAGATGTGATATCGAATTTGATTATGGATGCCTTAAGGTCAATGGTTTTATAGTATTGATCTACATTGAGATATACACAATCACTCACATATTGAAATTTCTTATTATAAACTTTTAATTTAGTAAATTATTTATACTTTATATGGAAATGCACACAAACAATAATTCGTTAGTCCTCTATTATAAATCTTCAATAAAAATTTGAATCATTAAAAAAATTATATGCCTAAATGAAAACTTACACAACAAGAAAAAATAGATTATACCTGATCTTGCCAAAACTCAATCACATGATTATAAAGTAAATAATAAAAATAAGAAAAAAAACATTGACCTCATGTCGATATTAGGAGCTTCTCTCAAAAAGCTTCAATCTTCATTTACAATGAGGGATGGCTAGAAGGCATAACACCAAATTAAAAACTTGTTTTATTGAAAGTAGAAATAAAATGGAATTCCTTTACACAAATAAAAGAACCTTATTTCTAACCACAAATCTCCAATTTTCAATAACAAAATCGTAAGACGGATTCAACAACCAGTTTCCAAATAGTTAGAAGTTGAATTATTTTAGCAGGAGAATGAGAATCCATATAGGAGCCATATCTCAGCATGGATATTTCATTATTGAGTCCGGATCAGAAGAAAATCTTGTAACTTGTCGTAGGTTGTACTATGACAACATATGCAAATCATGGATGAGAGCATCAAAAAGCTAACAGATTGGAAGTAGGAATTCCTGTAACAAGAACTTAAATAATTATCTTTAGCTGGTAAAGTTAGCAACAAGAGCAACAACCAGTGAAAATGGTAGTTCAGCTAATGGAGTTCTGCGTCAATATGACATTTGCTAAATTTTCTTAAGTTCCGACTGGACATTGATCACAAGTGGATGTCCATTACTTATCATTCTCTTTTTCTCTTATTTTTTTCTTTTTTTTGTTGCAATAGTATCATGTTTTATGACTGCACGATCATTTTATTTATCAATGCAAAGAATAAAGTAATGTAGCCCAAAAACTTGGCAATTTTGTCTAGTTATTTTGCAAGTTATTTTGCAAGTTATTTGCAAAAATTTTTTGTTAATATTGAAATTTTGAGGGCCATAATATTTGCTACCAAATATCCAATAATGATGATTTTTGTGTAAAATGATCCATTACTAATGTGAAAGTGTTGTGCTAACTGTTATAATAATTAATTATTTTCTTTCTCATTCAAATGTTTATATTAATCTAATGCTTTATAGGAGAATAAGTAATTATTTCATTCTTTTTTTTACTTATCTTTTATGTTTATTTCCAATAACAGAAGCATGAAATTGCTAAACGCCATAAGTTGGAAGAGCATTTTACTGGCAAAAGAATAAGGGAAAGGAAAGTAAGTCTCTCTCTGTTCTAAGGAAAGTTTCAAAATAAACTAGGGGGGAGAAAGGACAATTTTAAAATGCTTTAGACTTTCATTTTTTATTTTCCATATTGCAGACATATTGAAAGAGGTTGTTTTTTGTACTTGTTCAGGAGAAAATGATGCATTCTTACTTAAGCAGAAATGTGCATATTGTTCCCCCGAACAACACCTTATTTTCTCCAATGATGCTTCATGCAGACAGCAAGAAAAAAAATTCTAGTGAAGGTAGCTTTGCAAATTTATTAGATTGATTCAGAAAGTTGATAAAGATGGAACTTTCTTAATTGCAGTGTCAATTCCCATAACAGTTCTTAATAATTACTTCTTATATAGTTATTTATTTTCTCTAATGGCATACATCATATCTATATTATTTATAAAAGTTTTACTTCACCTCTTTGTATAATTAAAAACTAATTTCTTCTCTGGTGCACAACCACAGTTTAGTAAGATTTTCCTCAATCTATTGAAGGTACTATACCCTATTCACTCAAATATATGAATAGCATCTTTGCAATTTAGCCTGATGACATGCTTATTTTTTATCATTTAACTCTGTCCTCATAACCTAGAGTTGATATTATATAGATCAATGTATATCATTTTTCATAAAAAAAATATGAAAATTTACAAAAAAAAAAAAAACTATCAGTAATATTTCTTTATTTTATGCGTCCAAAGTTGGTTCATAAGCAATATCCCAACAAGTTTCAGTATCATAACAGAAATGAGCATCTTAGTTATTTTTAATTAGCTTTAATAAATTATAAATAATATATTTTAACTAATCAATGTGTGATTTGACAAATAAACTTTAAGTAGTTTAATTCTTAAATTTGGATTCCTACAAGATTTAGGGTGTAAAATTTATGTCTTATTATTAGAACTATTCTTTATAAATTCATTATTTTAACGTTTCCCCTAGAATCTAGTGGTAATTAGCCAGGTCAACCGAAATTTTACTGAATGAGACAATCTAATAATAAAATTGAAGATGTTTTACAGAAACACTCAAGTTAATATTTCAAGACATGTACTTTGGTATACTTTGAAGTGATAATCTTTCAAATTTTTGAACAAAATAAATTGTACAATTGCTTACAACATAAAATCATATAAATCCCCTCCTTTGCAAGTGTCATTATTGCTAAAATTTGCAACAATGCTTGAAGCTGGCATTTTATTCTTTAAAGCAGAAAATTTTGGACATGCATAGCTTTTGCTTGTATCTTTGATGTTCATGCTCTTACTTTACATCAAAGCACCAAAAGGATAGAATTTATTGTTGTCTAATTATGATGATTGTATCACATCCCTCCTCATGCATATTCTACCAATCTTTGGATACACATCCATATTAGATTTTTTTTTGTTCATATTGTGAACTGAAATTGGAATGGAAATATAGTATCATTGGAAAGAAAATATTGAAAAGTAAAGGACAAAAATTTAGATCAGCGTGACATTTAAATTTTTTTCAGAATTTAAACATAGAATAATCACTTTATTCATATTTACATTATTCTTTGATTAAAATTAACAATTAATAAGCTTTAAATTAATGCTTTCCATGTTCTATAAGACTTTAATTAAAATTGGTTTTGTTGTTTATTTTGACATAGTTTGTGTGGAATATATAGTCAGCATGCTTGATCATTTTAGAAAATAATAAAGGGACATGCAGAATGACATGCCCAATACAAATCAATTCCTGATTGTTTTATTGCTTTGACATGTAGTCCACTTTCACTTGTGTCATTACCTATTTTTCAAATTATTTCTTGGAAATACTTGCTTATTTTTATATTTTGCCCTCAAATAGTTGATATAAGAACTTCCTTAGTTATTTTTAGCTCTATGGAATAGGACTGAGATGTTACCTCCAAAATTGATCCAATTTAGAATTGATTATTAATCTGGATTGAGCTTTAACAAAACCAAACGAGTTCAGCCAAGTGCTAAATTTTTTGTTTGATTCACTAAAGGATAATATCATATTTTGTAGACATATGTCTATTGGAAAACAAGAAATTTCTGACAGAAATTCATATCACTAGCAGATTTCCAATGGAATTTTGACTGTCAAAAAATTGTTGGTTGAAAATGCATTTTGATAACAAAAAAGAATAAAAAAAAAACTATTGAAAAAAAAAGTTATGATGTACTTCTTGTGAGTCTTCCCTCACAAAGTTGTTAAAATCTGCCAAAGTGTTTGTCCCCAATTGTCAACTACAATTGGAGAATCTAATGGAGAAACCTAGATTTTGCATAAATCAATCTAAAAGATAGTTTTCTACATTAATAAAACACATACCTTTGATTTTGCAAATTAAAATATAGAACCCTTAAAAATATTTGCAAAATTCGAAGGCCTTTGAATTAAAGAAAGGATTATTAAACTAGTTATTAAGCTAATTTGAGAAGTTTCACATTCTTCATGTGATTGATAACTCGGACACAGTAGTTTGAATATTATTTGATTGACATGTATACTTGCGTGATTGATTTTGTGCATCACTACACTACTAATCAATAGTATAAATTAATGTTCATTTCATGCTAGCTTAAAGCGATAATATTCAAACGAGATGGTATTTTACTTTAGACTTCAAAACATCCAATCACCAGCTTCAAAAATATCAACAATCCAACGTTTGAAGCCAGTGATTCGCTGTTTCAGATACCAGGGAACAACTTTAAATGGGAGAAGAAGACGAGTATGAGCCATTTGACTTATCTTCATCCCCTTGGTTAACCTCCTCACTTAAGTTCGCACAAATCTTACTTCACTAGCCATTTATAGTTTCCTTCTCAGATTCTTTACTTATAATAGAACAAAACCCTCCTATTTATAGCAAGTCAAGGCAAAGGAACCGATGGGAGAAATGAATGATGCATTAATGGCATCAAATTTGCGACCTATAACACCATGATACCTTAGTTTCTCATAAAGGCATTAGCGTGTTGACTAACATCAATTGATATTTTGTCAGGTATTACAAACATCCAACATGTCTGTATCCTCCTCACTTTATGCCATTACTATTCTTCTATACTCAGAGAACTCGGCTGACAGACATCCGCATGACTAAGCATTGAATTACAATAAATCGTTATCCATTTGGCAACAATAGTTAAATCCTCTAAACTATGGTCACTCGATCGAAAAGCCTAGTGATAGATCAAGAGTTTTAATTCGGTTGTAATTGCATCATATATCATTTTTCTTGGTCTCATGTCATTTAAGCATTTTAAAACTCCTCTATTCGCAGCTCTTAGAACACAAGTCAAAGCATGGAGGCTAGATTCTCCTTATTGACAAGATCAAGAATAAGGTGTGAGTCACCCCAATGGAAAGTTTAATTGATTATCTCCACAATGATCGTGACAAGATCTTCTTAGTTATTCTGTTAAGAAGCACATCTTGTTAGCAAGAAAAACATAACAGAGATGACATGGGGCATAGGTAGTATAAGACTTGAATCAAGTTTATTATTTTTAAAACATAACCAAATATGTCATGAGGGTCCTCTCAAATTTTGCAAGGTATTCTTCCTATGAATTTCAATATATCTATTCGACTATTCAACCTACAATTTTTCATGCAAATTCAAGATATTTATTTGACTATTTATATATATCTTCTTGCGTGTTTTGAGGTTTCTATTCGACTAGTCGGCCTATAATTCTATCATTCCCTTGGTATGATATACTGTCTCTTTATCTATCTTGTTATGAGGCAACTTAAAATTATTCTCATTTTGTAAGTCAAAGTCCAAAAAAAAATTTTAATATTTGTATAGTTGAATACAAAAAAGTATGTTATGATAACCTCATCGAAGCAACAAACTATGTTGTAAATTTAAAATTTAAAGTATTCATATATGCAAATGCTTTTTATAATTGCAATTATTTTCTATAAGAATGTTTCTAAAATTTCAGAAAGAAAAATAATAAATTTGAGATGTTGTATTGACAAAATACTATAAATGTGATGCAAATGTTTTTATTCGACAATAATAAAAAATACAAAAATGGAGCAATAAGGTTTTCACTAAATAGGGCTTATCAGGCATTCATTGAACCCTCTTGTTGCTCTCCTTACTCTTACTCTCTCTCGCTCCAATCTGGTGCATAATTCATCCAATTTTTCTATGGTTGCCCACTCCAAGAAAAGTATTGTTCTTGATCAGGTGTCCCATACACGAACAAATACTACTCATATAATTCTACTGGAGAGTACCCTTCTACATGATACTCTTAAATAACGTTTTGATGAACTCCTCAAGAGTCTTCATGTTGTCCATCAACTAGCTAGTTAGCTCATGCTCGTCCTCGAGTTCACCATATCAAGCTTTTAGTATGGAGCATTCTCCTTCTAAAGTTTTAGCATACTGTTAATCCATAGTAGAAGAGGGTGACTTCAGCTCCTCATTCTACTTCATCAATTTGAGGGCTAATTTCTCGTAGCTTTTTCACTTCTCTCTCTCCTTTGAGAGATATTGTATCCCCCTTCGATAAGACTTCACAAGGGAAAGAGATGCATGTCAGCTCATTGCCTTTAGACGCATCGCCTCTAATGACAAGGTGTCCTTATTAATGCTCCTGAGAGTCTTTCCTAATGAGGGTGAGCAAACTTCCTAGCCTAAGCGACAGGTGAGACATGCCTCATTTTCTAACCTAACATTCTAGTCTAGAGTCAAGTCCACCTAATGAGGGTGAGCAAACTTCCTAGCCTAAGCGATAGGTGAGACATGCCTCATATTCTAACCTAACATTCTAGTCTAGAGTCAAGTCCACCAAAGCTCGCTCTATTTCCTTATTTATCCTCGAAATTTTGTCGTCTTTCTAAGGGTGCTACAATGCAGACACCTTTTCAACAAGAGTGGACGCCTTTCTCCTCTTCGGAGCCAGTTCGTCCTCGATGACTACCTTCCCTTTTTTGCTTGTGTTAATATTCTTGGAGAGTTTCTTTGGTGGCCTTCTTTTCTGCAAGAGGATCCTTGCCACTTGTTGGATTTGTTTGATCATTCACTAGTGAGAGGGAACGAATCAGAGTCACATCTAGAGCTAATACAAAAGTATGTTTAGCCTCAACTAACTAGAAAATGCCTTACCAAATAATTATGCCCTACAACAAAAGAGGATAGTGGGTTAATTCACTGTTCTTCACTCCACAGAAAACCCTCCCTTGAGATAATGATTAGCTCATCCATCTACTTCTT